ACTTTTCGATGTGAATAAGTAATTATTGTTGTAAAGCATGGAACAAAATCAATTTCGAAGACGTTTCTAAATATGTATTTATTATATAGATTTATATTGCATGTTTGAAATTAAGCAGTAGCAAAATACTCCTTAAATTTTTGATCAATTCGTAATTTTTTATTATTTGATGTCCTGTTGGTGTTAGTATAAGGAAATATCTACAGCACAATAACTAAAATTTCCGTTCTTTTAGAATTGGTAACATGGCTGATTATTTGTTATAATTTATTAGTAATGAATGGCGGTTAGTTATTTTGATTTTCAATTGCATTGCATCTGTACAATATGTATTTGCTTTTTCGAATATGAGCTGGTACAAATAAAACCTACTAAGTAAATGAAGATGAAAAAGCCACAGCACAAACAAAGCTTTATAACTAAATGAAAAACTTCCAACTTAGTAATGACCAATACAAGTTTACACCAATTAGTATACACAAGAATAGCAACCACTCCAGCGAAACTGTTCAAAACAAAAGCAAAAAGTTCAGAAATTACAAACTAGATCAAAATAGTTTCGCATTTTTTAAAATTTACTTGAAAGAAGAATTCAAACTACGACAAATAAACAATCAAGCAAAAAGCATTTATGCTTTGTTCAATATGAGCTATAGTTTTCTACAGTAAATTGGAACATTTAGTAATGTTTCTTAAATAATAAATTGAAATGTGTTTCACTTAGCCAAAATCGCCAAAGGGTACTGCGATTTTATTTGGATTAAAAGAAGACGATCTGGCCTAACTTTGATAAACAAAAAATATCTGGCATCTCTGCTATTGAGTAAAAGCTCTTCAAAAAAATTATCTTTTTTGAAATATCGAGAGAATGGTACGATATGTTTTGGTGAAACTCGCTGTGAATTTGTTCTAATGTTAGACTCATATTTTGATGAAACAATCGAGTTGAGCCGTTTTGGACAAGTGCTGAATTCGTGAGTGTCGTGGTACAAAAACTATCAGGACTTTTTATTTGGCGGATGGAATCAACTCATTTTTTTTGTTGATTCACTAATAATGTATTCACAATTTTATGCTCTTTGTAAAATCTTGTAGCATTCATAGTTTTTGCCCAAAATATATGTCTCTTTTCTTGCCACTTAACAATGTTAGACATTAACAATTGCATAAACGCGTACGCTTTCACGCAAGTTGTCTTCGCAAAACCCTAATACTTGACCATGTCGGTCACTTCTTCATTAGAAAAGGTCATTCGAAACGAATTTGTGAGATTGGTTGACGATTAATTTATGCCTCGTATCACGATATTTGCACTTAATGTCTAACATTGTTAAGTGGCAAGAAAGCAGAAATATTTTATTCGCAAAAACTATGAATGCTACAAAATTTTACCGAATTTTAAGAACACAAAATTGTGAATAAATGATTAGTGCATCAACCCAAAAAAATGAGATGATTTCATCCACCAAATTAAAAGTTCTGGTAGTTTTTGTACCAGGACACTCAAGAATTCAGCACTCTTCCAAAATTGGATTGTTTCATCAAAATATGAGTCCTAAAAACGAACAAATTCACGGCGAGTTTCACTAAAATATATTGTAGCATTCTCCCGAAATTTCAAAAACCACAATTTTTTTGAAGAACTTTGACCATCAATAGCAGAGCAGCAAGACATTTTTTGATAATAAAAGTTAGGTCAGATCGTCTTCCTTTGATGCAAAGAATATCGCAGTATCCTTTTGATCATGTGTTTACAGGACACCCTGTATGAATGAAGAAAAATGTTGGATTAATCTAAGCAAGAGAAATGGTAATCAGTATAAGTAATTTATACAAATATTTAATAAAGATAAACCGGTTAGAAATATTAGTGTTAATGAATGTTTAGGAAATGGTGATGTCTCTTAACAGATTGTTTTGATGTTTTGCTTCGGAAATGATTGTTTTTTTCAAGACAAGACTTACTGGGAATATACTATGCTATCCAACTTTATATATATATATATAAGTTGTTGACTGAGCTGAAGTTTTCTCCTCTTGAATAAAATATCTACGTACCTACCTATATTTAAACCATCTCTCGTATTTCGTTTTAAGGTAGGCGCTAGACGCAAAACCCTTTTGTGTCAAGAGCGAAGATTAAGAATAGGGAAAATAAGATAGATGTGCCCGCCATTTTAGCGGAGTATTTTGCTTCCTTGCATTTCATTGTAACGAGCTATCGTCCAAATGAACATTCACGCGAAAATTATTTATCGTCAAGTATGCTCCTGTCAAATATTTCGCTGGCTCACCCTC